AAGTTACACAGAACGCATGATCGCACCGGCTATTCTGGGGCGCGCTGCTATTTATTACTGTTAATTGGCCAACGCGCGGGCTGCCCGTGCGAAGATGCGTTTTTTACTTAGTTCCTCGCTTTCGGCACCAGTTTTTCCGGCAAATGCTTCTAACTAGACAGATTAAGACTGGCCGCCAGAACTGTCAGGAAACACCCCCTTAAAATTGTTTTTTAGCTTTTCTGGCTCCTGAGTTAGCACTTGCTGGAAAAAGACTTTCACGGGCCATACGTGGGTACCACACATACCGATGTCTGGGTTTGAGTTCGTTGGAACCTGCGTGGACGGGGAACATCCTCTTAAAACTGCAGTCTTCTAGCTTTTCAGGTTCTCAAGTTAGCAACTTACCCGAGAAAAACTTTGGTGAGCCCGTGCGTGGGTACCACACATAACCGTGGGCTGGGTTTGAGCTAAATGAGACTTAGATGGACGGGGGATATCCACTTAAAGTTACAGTCCTTTAGCTTTTCAATTTCCCGAGCTATCAACTTACCCCCCAAAAAAAATTTGGTGGGCCCGTGCGCAGGTACCACGCTTACGCGGTTTGAGCTCATTAATGCCTACTTGGACGGGGGATATCCCCTTAAAATTTCAGCTTTCTAACTTTTCTGGTTCGCGAGTTAGCGACTTACTCGCAAAAAACTTTCGCGGGCCCGTACGTGGGTACCACGCGGGTAAGACCGCCCATTTTGGGGATGGAAGCCCGTACATACATGTAGATTAAGTTCCCAAAGTTTCAACCCTGTAGGCTTTGTAGGTCTCATGATGAAAAATCGGTATAGACGCTCAGCGCACACACAGACACAAACAGACACACAAACACACACGCAGGCACAAACAGACACACAAACACACACGCAGACAACCTCTCGTCAATATGCGTTTTCCGCATTGCATGGCTGCAAAAAACGCATAATAATGTAGACATGTCGGATTGATTGATTTGTTTTCTTTTTCCAGTTCAAGGATTTCGGTCAGGCGATTTCTTCGAGCGACTCAGACGGGCTGTGTGAAATTCCAGTCACTGGTACTTGCGATGAGGTACAGTACCATTATTCAGGAAGTGATGGCACCATAGTTTTTGAGATTGCATTTCTCATAAGCTTACCAGGCTCCCCTCTTCTTTCGCTATATCTTTTAAAATTTTGAAAGTTATTACGAATTCATAGGCGACCCATACTGTTCTTAAGTTCGCCGTCTTTGCATTGTCATAAAGACAGATCCACCCTAGCATATTTTTTATCAAAGGGTTTCGAGTGGTTATAGGATCGGAAATAGCCTTAAAGTATAAGAAATGAAAACCTATTGCATTTACATTCTTGAAATTTCGTTAAATTTTTTTATGGTTAAATTTTCAAAAATTTCTCTGCTCAACTTGACTAGATCGCTAAAAAAAATTAATCAGTCTTTGCTGTCACCCTGATTGAGGTGCAGAGGATCCCGAGAGTTTCATTCCTCCGACGACTCATTAACTTTTTGAGTCAAAATCGCCGTCAGCTTGTTTCTGAGCGACTCACGAAAGGGGCGTCCATCGAGAGCTTTGCGAGTTGATTACTTTTGCACATGCTACTATAGCTTCCGCTTACCTTCCTCTCTTACGAAGACTCAATTTTGACGGAAATCTTGATTTTTTGGCCCCGTATTGTGCAGGATATTAATTTGTAATAAGTTTTGTGTCAGCTCTTTTTTTTTGCATAGGCCCGCGATACGCATTTGTTGGTTTCTAATGATTGCAAATTATTGCAGAAGAATGTGATGGCGGCTGGCGATGTTGGTGCGCAGAATGGCTTTGTTGATGAGTTTATCGGCCGAAAACGAAGGACCCGTCCTTGCAAATTAGAGGTAAGGTTTATAATTAAATATAAAAAAAAAAAAAACTACAACATTTGTTAATAATTCATCATCTAGATATCTCCATTTCTGTAAATAGCAATTTTTCAATCGATTGCGATCTCGCGCTCACACTATCCCATGTACTCGAACTAGTGAATCGGCCCAGTGAGCCCTCGATCTTTCTGCTGTTCTTTTAAAATATTGTGAACCATTTATTATGTATTATCTTTGGTATATAACCAGC